TATGTTTCCAATAAGAAGATATTTTTTGCAAGTAAATTTATACGTTTAAAATGACGATATTGTATTGTGATTTTCCTGATGGCTTCAATAATGTCAGATTATTGTTAAATGTTATCCCCATTGACTTTTTTCTTCACTACATTATTTACAAAATAGAAATCAGGTTAACCCTTTACATTTGCCTGTCGGGAAGGACACAATGTGAGCTTAGACTATCTCCCCAAAAAAGATATCCACCACAGTAAATTAGTCCCAAATGAATGATTGCGATGAATCCTTTTGTTGTAAATGTTCTTTTCCAAAGGCCTCCAAACCGATGCACGTCAATTGTAAGCTCAACCGCAGGACAATGGGCGATAATGACCTTCCACGTTGTGCTTCAATAGCATTCGAAGTGTCCCTTGAGTGTCGTAAATTCGTCAATTGTTGTTTCGGTTAAGCTTTTTAACATGATTTTTGATAGTTTCAATAAATGAAACATACTTTTATGGACATGACAACTCCATTTCCGTTAAAACTATAGTAAATTGATTTTTTTACTTTTTTTGTTGCAATTTCCAATCGAACCAAAGGGATTCTTGTATGTTGGATGTGAAGAAAAATAATTTCTGTTCGATCAAAAGTCAATCGTAGTGAAAATTGATTGCATGACGACATGCGAGCTATTTATTAGTTGATGTTTAATTGTTTGAAGCTATGCAGTTCATAGATTAAAATGATTACGTTTTGACGTGGATATCAAATCGGGATGTTTCATGCTTTTAAAATATATCTAATCCAGATGTTGCGTGATATTACCGATAATTTAAGTACACATACATTAAGTAGATTAAACATGTTTTTACTTCTTAAACTGCGACCCTTTAGATATTCTTCAATCTCTTTTCTATTTGGTTGACTTCTAACTTTTCATAAAGATTGTTCTAATCCAAGCACGAGGAAACGTTTGACTTCAATAATATTTAGTTAACTTCCTTAAGAAAGACATCATCGTTTTGTTTTGCCGTAAATTCCATTCCAAACCTCAGTTTTACGAAAGTAACAAGCGAAAGATAATAAAAGAATTAACATATTTTCTATTTATTTTTGAAAAGATGGAGGAAGAGGCAAGTCAGAATCACGTTAGGGTGAAGGAGAAAAATGATGCAATATAAATTGTGAAGTGTTGTAACATGAAAATCATGGGGGTTTGGAAAATATGTTCAATATTTCCATCCAAATCATGAAAATGTTTCATTTGAAATTCTTACTGTTGTTTTATAATCACATATAAAATTATAATTTTCTCTTTTTCCCCACTTTGAAGAGGGAATTTCTGATGACTTTATTCAGCCAATATATTTATTTATATGTATCTACATGCATTAAATTCGTTTTTGTATAATCTATTTATTTTAGGCACAAATTTTGAATGCGTATGACCTCTCAAGGGACCAATAACCCGAAAGGAAAAAAGAAACCTGATGTCCTAACATGTCGCTACATTTCTCTTATTTTTTCGAGAAGAAGAAGTAAAAAAACAGTGAATTAAAATAAAAAATATGATGCGAAGATAACTTTTCTAGCTAATAAGTAGATAAAATGAAAGAATTCTTTAAAAAATTAGTTTAATATTTAAATTAACGTTTAATCAGTCGATATATTAATGTAACAAATTGTCGAAATCTTTTTAAATTTATTTTTCATCCCAACAAATTTTTAAGAAAAAAAATTATGGTTTGTCGTTTTCGTTTCTTGGTTCGAATTTCAAGCTGAAATAGGAATCAACTTAAAAGAGACGAAGAAAACAGAGATGACCAAATATTGAGAGGTGGTCAAAAACCATAAAGGAAGAAACGTGAATGATGTAACTGTAATTTTTGTTATTTTAAAGGACTGTAAATATCTTTTTCTAAAAATTTATAAATTATGCCTTCGTAAAATACTTCTACAACATTTGTTTCTAAACAATTTTAGCAAGAAACTTCCTTTTTTCAGTAAGTCGACTTATGTTTGTCTTTCTCAACTTCATTTCCTTCCTCATGCGAAGCAAAATGATTAAAAGTTACAACAGAAGATTGCTTTGCTTGGGAATTCCCTTATCAAATTTACTGTCTTTCTTCCTTTTTATGCCTCTCGCTTTTTTATTGCCTCTAAACAAATCTATTAAATCAGTCTTAAAGTCAATAGAGATAACGATGCGCGATTCATCTTTTCCGCGAGCTTGGGAGGTACAATAAATTCACATTGTAATGTATGCTTGTTTCATCGAATGCCTTGTAACGAGTAAGCAACACACGAATCACATTGTTATGCTTAATTTATTATGATTTTATGTGAATAAAAAAGAGCGGCAGAACAAGGCTGTATATTTGATGTACAGTGAAGAGAAGAAAGAGGTTTTATTAGATTAGGAGAATGTTAAAAATGCGAAAAAAGTGAAGCTCTTTACGTTTGTTATAAATTTATAAAAATAACGGTGAATGTTTCTTCTTTTATTTTCCCCGGAATTACGCGAGACTCTCGCTTACAGGAGAGATGTTCTTGCTTGCGGGTGAATTATTTATAAGATCCATCGCGGGCGACTAGCTTTCAACTCTGTTAAATGTCGTTTCAAACATATTTTCTTGTAAATCAATTGAGACCCCAAGGAGAAAAGGACATCAGTAATAGAAAGAGAGAAGGAGATCTATCTATAGGATGAGTGAATATGAGCTGAGGCAACAATAAACAAAGATATAAAAGCGCGGGTTGAAAACCTGAATATCTAATGGAGCATCTCGGTATACACATGAATGAGGATTTCCATTTTACCTCAAGGGATTGTGCGTGAGTTCAGAATCTTTTCGTTTATTAAATTTAACTTTGTAAGTATGCATTAAAATATCACAAAAACATAATACAAGAACGATCCCAGCTACGGTATTAGCGGGGGAGAACAAATAAAACATACGTTTTTTTAAAACAATTTTCCCGCATCCTCCAGAATTATTACGTAGATACATACATTTACCGTTGTTGGTTGGAAGGATGCCGAAAGGGATAATCTCTAGTGAGGATAACAGAACCAGAAAAGTTAAACATAAGTAAATAATATGTAAAACATACTTTATTGCACAGCGAATCGGTGTTTGTCTCAATCATTTCCAGAAATATAAAATTCGCCGGTAGACGATTGAATTCGAAATTCAAAGTGAAAAGAAAAGTTTTCCCCGGAAAGATATTTTACAAAAATTTAATGATTTTCACATATTTTATTTATTTATTTTTTCATCTTCCCATTCGTATATATTTATATTGGTATTTGATTATAAATGAAAACCTTTAGTAGAAGAAAATTGAAAAAAAATTATTTACCTAATATAAAAATTTCAATAGTTATTTTATAAAAATTTTTATTATAAAAATTGAGAGCATTGATTGCAACAAATTTAATAATAAACAAGTAGTTAGTATATTTACTATAGTTTTGTATGTCATTACATAACATGCATTACAAACTAAATTAAATCATTTGCTAGTGATAGACATAAAAAAGCGAATTTCTTGTCACTCTTTTTTTTTATCCGACTATCTATGAACATATCAACAGATTTCCTTAAAGACAACATGTTCAGCATTAAATGTATAACTTATAACATCTATGCAAGAGTAATAAGAAAAAGTACAAACAGATTGGAAGTAAGATAAAGCGGTAAAAGTTTGGAATATTTCGATGTTTGTGCGGGTTAAGAAAAACAAATATTAATAAAAAATGAGACTTGAAGGCAGTATTTTGCCTTGAAACAGCAACAGCATATATTATCATGAATAAATATTAAGTGTCTGTCGACCCACAGTCGGAAGATAGCAAAGTGAAAGTAACACCTCGAGATGCCAATTTAAACTGACTTTTAAATAATTTAAAAGATTCACATAAAAGGAAAGCGACTCAAAGACCAAAAGCATTCTTGTGTAGACACATTATGTCTTGTTATGGCATTTCGCATTTTTATTCCTTTAAATATTGTTTTATTTCTCACCAACAAATTGAACTGAAAGCGTGCGCTGCTTGAGAGCTAATCCCTTTTTTCACTGCATTACTTTTGCTTTAAATCAAATTTAGGCTTAAAGCTTTAGATTATTTTTCTTCACTTTACCTGATAACTTCAGAAAGAAACAGAATTGCGATAGTTTCTTGAGTTTCATCAATAAATACAGCCAACCATTAATGGTGTAGCGTTTAAAAATTCCCACTTGAGAATTGAGTGGTGTTGCGGTTCAGGTGTTAATTAAATGTAAACAACCTCTGCAAAATGGATACAATAGGGAATGTGGATGAATAAAAATTGGTGCAAAAATTATCATATTGATAGAACATAAAACAGGTGCGTACTTTAATGTAGCATAAAGTTAAATTATTCGTAAGCATGGTCAATTGAAAAAGTTAATGAAATTGACCGCTTGAAATTATTCGTAAAGGACGATCCATTACCATAAACGTCATCATCAATTTGGATAATTAATCAAGCTAAAAAAGAACATTTGTTGTTGCTCAACATTATCAATTGCCACCAACACCTTTAGAAATGCAAATTTTCATCTTGATAAAAGGTTTTTGTGGGTTCGGAAATTTATGAAAATTCTTAGTTGCTGAAAGGAACCCCAGGGCGCATAATTAATTAAGTGATGGCACTTCGAAATATGGACATTTTAACACACTTTTAATTAATTGTTTTTGTCAAATTTTCCTTTCTTTTACTAGAGAAATAAAGTCTACTCAACTGTCACTTATTAGGATATGAGCTGAATTTAATAGAGAAAAGCATAAATTTTTGAGTTCTTCATGTCTATCATAGTCAAAAGATCTAAATTAAGTAAGCAAACGATTCAAGTTCACAATAACCAAATAAATTTGTTGTGTCATTGTGACAAAAAAATTTGGGGATCGGTCGACGAGTCTTTAATATTTAATTCATGTTGTAAGAATATAAATTTTTGTTTCAATCGAATAAAAGACATCAAATCTCATTCTTTTTTATCTATACCTTTTTAAATGGTAAAACTGCGTCTACATTTTGCTGGTGAAGACATTTGTGTAACTTCAATATTGAAATGGTAAAAAAGAAGAAAAATGATGTGAATTTGAATAAATTTCATATAAAATGTAATGTGAAATAATGCATCATTAAAGGTTCGTTCATTTTATTGAAAATTGCTTTTATTTTTTTCCCAATTCATTTTCAAAGAAGGAAAGTGATAGAAAAAAAAATGTAGCACAAGAGTTGCAAATTATTTAACTTGTTCATCCCGTCCCATTCAATCCCTTGTTGATCCGAGATGATCCCTTGTTTTGTAATTCGTCCTGTTTATTTATTATTTCTAAGGATACTGAGTACTTGTTTGTTATTTTATCTTGCTCATTGTTGGAACTAACAAGTACTTGAGCCAGCACCTACCGCTCATTCAAAACACCAAACGAGGGGTGAAAAAAAGGTTTCGGGTAAACAAGTTCAAACATTATGATGAGAGCGGAGTCACCCCCTCATGTCATGAGCTACTGATGCACACATGTTACGATAAATACATAAAAATATGTTATAATTGTTAGCTATTCTTTCGAAGCTTGCATAGCAGCAGGGGTCGGTTAAGGGCTGCATGATGCGCACACATAATGCAAGGAATAAAAGGGATAAAAAGCAAATTATGATTCAATTTTCTCCCTCTCGCTCTTTTGTCTTCTTATGCAACTCGATACGATTTTTGATGAAAAAATTCAAGAGTACAGTTTCGTTGGTTTCTTCTTTAGTTTTCAAAAAATTAAAAGATCATTCAACGACACCATCTTCACAAAGTTTCCTTTTCTAATTATTGTAATTAAGTGGATAATATTTTGTTCTTTATTTAAAGTCAACACAAATCACTTGATGACTCTTTAATTAGCCTTTGAAAGGTTTGAAATTCTAATCGCTCAGTAGAAATATCCCTAGAGGATTTTCAGTGTTAAAAATTCCTATTTAATACCTTTTCATGCTTCTTTAATGAAAACAAGTGTCAGGTTTTTAAATAATTTACTTATTTGTCATTGCCTTGAAGACAATCTTTCTTTTCTTGATCCCTTTTCTCTTTTTTTTAAATGTTGGCTTGTCTGCGATTTTCCTTGCAGTTAAAATATCTGATAATTTTGTATTTTGTAATGGGTTTAGGAAATAATTAGAAAGGTTTCATTCGCCCTTGTGTCACCACTAACCTCTTTAACCGCCAGATAGAAAGCTTTCAAGGTGTTCAGAAGTAAAAGGGTTCATGCTTAATGAATTTTTAATATTTTCTTTTTTACTTCAAGAAAACTTTTTAATCGCATGAAAGAATTTGAAGGAAATATTTTCGAAGAATAAAATAAGTGTTAGGTGAAATAAGAAGCGATTCAAATTCGCTCCAGGGAATCCAATTTGAAAGAGTTATGAGGGTTGAAAGTATTTCCGTGGAAAAAATATCGGTTTTTCCTTTTTCAATTTTATACTTTTTAGCTGGTGAGAATCAACAAAAGCCAGTCAGTCTTCAGAGTGTCAATTGAACTTCCCCACGAATAGCTGCAGCCAATAATTTGTTCTGACGTAACGTCGTCAATAAATATTAAATTTGAGCCACTTGCCGATGTGAAATTGAAACTTGTGAAATATTTCGTTTTATTATACTTAACGCAAGAAGGCAAGGAAACCAGGAAGAATGAGACAAGCAACACGAGACAAATTAGGTTGAATGACTTCCCTTAGTAGATTGAGCTTAACTCAGTCAAGTGTGTGTGGGGTAAACGTGAAAATTAAGTGAATGATGCTCATTATTTTTAATTCGCTATGGCATGACACTATTAACATTGGAATTCGATATGCTAAGCAAACACAGATATTTATAACATTCTTACTTTGATTAAGAAAAAACCTTGAAAGGTTCATTAAAAATCTCACACACATATCACAACAAACAACATCAAGTGAACGAACTGACTAATTCTTCATGCGGTTTTAAATAATTCATTTTTCTTCCCTTATACTGCTCATTTTTTGCCTTTTCCTCCCATGGTTTATTGTTGCCAATTTCAATATTAATGAGATTAATGTTGGTTAAAGCAGTATAAAAGGGGTGTGAGTGAAGACTAAAATCAGGAGGAGAGAAAAATATGCTGGTGTTGGTTGGTTTTTCATTCAAATTTAGTTCATTCCACATCGCATGAAAGTTTGTTTTAGAAGTGAAGAATGAATGAAGTGCTTTAAAATCCTTAATTGGATTTTGAATAAATTAAAAGCTTTAATTAAGTTTATCACAAGGATGAAGCAATCTGACGAGTATTTAATTTTAATGAGTAATTACAACATTTGAAAGGCTTAGAAATGAGATAAAACAAATATCTACTTTTCTTTTATAAGAAAGTTTAATGAAAAATTCTTGTTCTTTATCAGCTTCATGCGTTCTTTTTTTAAAAAGACCAAAAAAAAATTAATTTTCCATACACATCATTTTTTTTTCATTTATTTGAGTTTCCTTGGTCACATTGGAAATTATTTCACATTTTTTCCGAGGTCGTTTTGTCCCTAGAGTGATATTTTTTATTCACTCGTAGTTGAAACACACGAAACAGTAAAAAATTAATATTTGAACACTTAAAAAATTTTATTATGTTTTTTGGTCAATATTTTATTCAGTTGTAAGATAAGAAAAGTCGGTGGTGAGTGAAAACACAAGACAAACGACAGCCGTGAGGCATTTTTCTCTCATAATTTTCAATTCCTTTCGTTTACAGTATTAAAAAGTACACACAAACAATAGGAGAAGAAAAATAGAAGTTCGAAACAATTGCTAAATTATTCAGAGTGGCTGTTTCATGCTACAAGAAAATGCTTAGTCTCGGTATAATTTTTGTTTTTATTTTACTGTTATGACATTTCTTTCAACTTTTTTCTCCCTCATCGTCAACATTGTTGTTCTTCCGCCTTTAGTGACAATTTTCACGTGCTTTAAAAGAAACATTCATGAACCGGAAAAGTTAATAAAAATTTCTCGTCGGAGGGCATTAAAGTCACACTTGGAGTCCATAAAAATTCATTGACTCTTTGACATGGGACAAGTAGCAGCGGCAATTGTTCAGAGTTAACGTCACAATACTGTCAGAATGAGGTACAGGAAAAAAAATTAAAGTTCATTTCAGCATCATCCAAACTGCCAATCCCACAAACAGACTTTCTGTTTCCTGCTTAAAGAGATAATAAAATTTTCCTCCCAATTAATCTTTTTGGAAACTGACACCCTGAGGATAACAAACGCCCTTTCTGTTCCGTTAAGAGTGGACATAAAAATGCTAATCAGGGCAGATTGGACAGAGCATTTTTAAATAACTTTACATATTTATTTAAATGTTTTTGATTTATAAGAAGATTAAAAATCAAGTAAAGCATTGTACAATTTCATGCCTTGAAGCTAAAGAATAGTATAAAATATTTTAACTCTTTCTCAACGGTTCACAGATTATTAATGTCACAATTAGAGAACGTTCCTGAATTTTATTTCCAATTTTAACCATACATTTTCATGAGTCCCCAGTGTAAATGAAGAGATCAGATTTCAGAATCGTCTTTGACATTACACATAAAGCTGTCTTCAATTGCATTTTGGTTCTTTTTGAATAACAACAAGCAGCTGGCCAGGTCAAAAATTATAGACACTTTAACGGAAATGTTACATAGATACATAATTGAAGTTTAACCAAAGATAAATATCAACAACCAATCAGGGAGCTTACATGGTTACATCTTTTCATGATGAAAAGAAAAGTCGTAGAAAGGCGTAGGAAAAATAAGAAAACGTAATGTTACTCTCGAGTGTAATTACTATTATGTGTGTGAGAAAACGATCATCGAAATGGAACGTTTCTATCGTTTCAAAGACAAAATAGTTTAGCAATTGGATGGGATGATTTCATTTTGACTCAAGTGTTTTTATTGGCATTTTATTTCTTAAGAGTTTTGCTTTGTACTTTATTGAGCTTCGACGTTTGAAAAATAGTAACAAATGCGAATGTGGAGAACTTGAGTTTCCCACAAAAAAATAACCCTGAGAATAATTGGAACTTTTAAAGGATTTTCCTATGATATCGTCAAGAAAAAAAATCCTTTTTGTATTCGAAAATAAACTCCTGAGTGAGAAATGTCACTTTCATTTTGCTTTTATTTCTAAACCGTTTTTCCGCGCAATCAATCATGTCGCATTTCTTTCTTGCTCTAAATAAAAAAAGAATGAGAAAAATTCTCATTGATATAAACACATTTCCATGGATTAATGGATTTCTTGAGCATAACAAATAAATGTCGAAGAAAAGCGAAAGAAAATTTTAAAGTCACATTAATGCTGGTTGGATTTACATGAACACGAACTAAAAGCAAACTCGCAGCCAAAACGAGGATAATAAATCAATTTTCATCTCTTATTCTCCTAGCTTGTGGGTGCGAGATGAAAACATGTGAAAATGAATATTGACAGGTTTTACTTTTCGAGCTGACTTTTTCTTCTCTCCTCTGATGTAAATTTCGTTTATTATTCGAAATTGAGTCGTATCATCCAATGATGTGTAATATTAAACAACAAGAAACTTTCGAAATGTAAATATACATATAATATCAATAACATGAAAATTGCCACTTTTTACGTGATTCATCGAGACAACCCTAGGAAAACAAAAGCTCTTGTTCTAAGAATGAAGATGAAAACTGTCGTACCGCACTCGAAACGAACAAATACACAAATCAATTCATTTTCCTAAAAGGTTTTTCTTTAACATGCAAATTTTTCTATTTGTGGGTCTTTTATGATTCTTTCTTTTATGCATGTTGAATCGTCGATCATATTTCCATAAGAATAAGTATAGAAAATTCAGAGAGAGAACTGCGACAAAGCATAAAAAAAGAGAAGACATTTTCCATTTCCATAACACGAATCAATGTGCACGTAGCATTATGGGCACAAGTTGATAATCCCCATGTGACAAACTCTTTTTCCCTTCTTCTTCTGATGTTTCTCAATTTTCTGTCTTTCCTTTTGTAGTGGAAAAAAATATTTCAAAGTTTTGGGATTGATTTTTATAATCATGATTTCATATGATATGACAAAAGTTTCTGAAACATCAATTTCATAACGTGAAGTTACTCTCTTTGGATATGAAGAAATATCCAGGATATCTAAATATTTAGTTAACAAGAATCATCCCAAATTACATTTTTCCTTCTTTTCGGTATGAATATTTGATATTGCTTGTCTTGTCTTGCTCGGATACTTAATTAAGAATATGATTGAGTTTTGTCTTCATTCAATCGTAATTCTCATCAGAAATTTTGCTTCTCTTTATTATCCACCTACTCACAGTTTTTACTGAACAGACTTCTACTCAAACCCTTTTCAGTTCCAGTTTCTATTATTGTTAAAATCTTAATTGCAACTTGATTCCTGTTTAATAATTTGATTACACGCTTATTTCGTCATTTCCATTCAAAGATTTTCCGCTTGTTCCCAATTTGCGGTAGCTTACCTACTATTGTGTTATGATTGTTATAGGTTGCAGCATTTCTGATTTCTAACGCTGAGAAGTCACATTAGACCCCATAATCAAAAAATATCTGGTATAAGCAGAATGAAGCCGCAGAAGTAGCTCGGGAAATACAATTTTAACTAACTTATATCTTTTGAATCGACATATTTGGTAGAGGGCGGTAAACTAACTTAATTGACATTCATTCTCGATAAATAATTCAATTTATAAACTGGATTACCCTCGCCTACAGCTTCGTGTTTTCGAAATATTGTTGGAGACTCAGCAGTTAGTAGCAAGAAGGAAATATGTTCTTTCCTTTATGGAGAATCATTTTCACCCTTTACACACTCAACTTCCTAATAAGAAGAAAACGCTCATGCAGTGGAATTTATTTGAAAGCGTTTGTATATTAAATTGGCTTTGTGATAGCGGCAGGGTGTAATAAGAGGTAGGAAACGCATTATTATTTAGATATAAATTATGCAGCACCTCAAAAAGGTAACAAAGGCAAAATGTAGAACATTTATTGCTCGCCGTTGTTCGTGTTGTCGGACATTCGTTTTTTTTGTGGAATTTAGTATTCTGATCAGAAGTTGAAACGAAAGCAGAGCATGTAGTGAACTATGTTTAGAATTTTTATATAATTTTCTATTTTCTGATGTGGCATGTCGATCAACAGTTACATGAATTACTATTGTTACGAAATCTTCTGATTTCTATTAAAATATTCATTCGATAACTTTAATTAACGTAACAATTTTAAATTTAATTATCTATATGCAGTCCAAAAACTTGGTTTTTAAGAGCAATTTACGTATTTGCCCAGTACATTAGATGGTTGTTCAATATTGCGCAATGAATTTTTAATTGCACTTTCCTAACTTGATATTTAAATTAATGTAGATTTTTGGTTCTGAATCGGCATGAATTCATATCCACAATATCTCTCTCTTTTAAACTCTCTCTCTCTCACTCCATCTCTCTCTCCCTCTCTCTCTCTCTCTTTGAAATAAAAGTGAAATTCATTTTATGATGTAATTACTGCACTTATCTTGTGACAAAATTGCGTGGATTTGAAGATTGGCGAAAATAAAATGAGTTTTTGGTATTTATGAAAAACAATGAAAAACAAAATGTGCTGTTCAACAATTAAATAATAATCCCAGCATAATTTCAATTGCACATATATTCATGACAACATTGAAATTATAAATGTAAATATTTATTTATCATTATTTTTAGTAACGATTGTTATGAATGGTTTAGTGATTCTAGAATGCCTTTAGAGACGATTAATAATTGTCAAATTAATAATAATAATTTTTGTGTATGTAGTTCATGACGAATAAAATGTTGTATTAACGTTTTTAATACATTTAAAGTTGTAAGATATCATTTAACTACCCATTGTCCAAAGACTCCCTTAGGAATGACAAAAGAGTCATTTTAATTATCCACTTCGATGCTCCATCAGAAAGAAAACAGATCATCATTGAAATGAATTTTTGTCTTATCGTTCTTGAGGTCGACAGGCCACAAAGAAGAAATTTTTTCATACATTAAGTACTCCGACTTCTGTGCCCGCTCATCTTCCATCAAATTAAATAAAAACAGCATTAATAAAGTCTATGATTTATGAGGTGATCCCATATATGTTAAATTTGGGTATCACTTCTACTCTTCGAAAGGGATTACAATCACCCACAATATGTGGGTGAGTGCGGTTGAAAGCAAAACTTTTCCATTTAGGCGAACGAAGTTTGCCATCGAAAAGTCGTCGGAAACCTTTTTAGGTTTTGTCGCCCGTCCGCTTCTCTCGTGGGTATTTCGGTAAAAGACATAAAACATAAACAAATGTAATATGTAGGCTGAGCGAATATGCTGTGACATTATATGGGGGATGAGAAAGCATCCATAAGGTTAAGAGCTGCTGTATCCGTGATGAATAATATATTAGAGTGTTTCTTCAACTTCAACATCAACAAAAAGGGTTTCCTTTATCTAAGTAATACATTCGAAATCCTTTTAAGAGAATTCTAAGATATTCAACGCGTAAAATCAATTTCTCCATCAAATATCTGAGATAGTTGATTTCTACACAATACAGCTTCTTTTGCCTTTCATCGATTTCAACTTCTTAACATTTCAACAGGTTCTTGCACCAGCGAATGCAATTTTTGAAATTGAAATCTTTCTTTTCACACTTCATCACTGCAAAAAGTAAAAATTTTCAATATTTTCACGAAATAAATAACAAAGAGAAATCCCGTGGGAAATTTTTTTTACTTCTCATTTTTCCCGTCGCGATTGCATTTTTATTTTTCTTGATGAGCCTTTGCATATAAAACTTTCATAGAATAAGAATAAAATTGGCTGTCGATTGAATCTCTGTGTTATCGTGAATCCTTAAATAGTAACACATTGGTAAGTGGGGATTTTCATTTCCAATTCACCCCAAAGCGTATTAGTCGTATTCTTTTGGGAAAACCGTCGTTAAATCTTCTTCCGCTGTTATTGTTTTTACGATTATACGGTCGTTAAATTATCGTTACCTCTTCTCTATCACTCTCAGCCCTTAAACATGAAAACATTTCAGTGATTTTATTTTCAATATTTGGAATATTTTTCAAAAATTTTCCTATGAATATTGAGTGTTGTGTGAAAATAAAATCATTTAGAAATTAGAAGATAACTTCTTATAGAAATTTAGTATTTGACACAGTATCCCATGATTAATCTTTAATTAGGCGAAAAAGTGAGAGAATTTCACACAATTTTCCAAATGGCAAGCTTCGATTTCTTTTCTCATTTTCTTGTGTATAGAGATGTCTGTCTACCACCTTTAATCACGCTCGGTACGGGAAAGAAATTTCTCTTGGGACCTTAGCAATGAAGCAGCATAGAATTTCTTACTTTTCTATTTGAAATGTATATTTGTGTGGCGTGAAAAGCCTATAAAATCATGAACATATTTATTTCCGAATTCTTTATTGTGTAATGTGTTTTTCATCATTCGTTAAATCACATTTTTCCTTAATCATGATTCTCATTACAATCTCATCCCATGGTTTGTTAGCTGCAATTCTCAAAATGTATTACTTCGTTTCAAGCATTGTAATTTATTCCTTGCACATACGTAAGTTGATGGAGCATGTCTCATTTACTAATTTGATAGATGAAGAGCGTATGTGTGTTCCTTCATGGGAATTCCTGAAAGGATAAAAAGAAGGTTGGAAAATCTCTTTAAAAATAATTTTACCGTTGCAAACTGCAACAAAATTCACAATTTTCATCGTGCAACACAAAGAATCACCAATTTGGAAATTGTTAGAATTAGGATGATTGAACTTGTTTATATCGCTTTTAATTTATTTATTATTCTAGTTTTCTTGCACGTTTAGGTAAGAAAATTTATTTAAAAGTATCTTCTCATCAATAATTTAAGTAATTAAATTTTAACCGAAAATCTACCACAGTGATTCGTTATGATCTTCATTCATCCTCCGTTTTTCATCCCTTTAGTATTAAATGAACCGCAATAACATTAAACACACGAAAAAGTCATCATCATGATGTTGTAATTATGTTCAGCATGAACATCACATTAGTGAAAAAGTGTTTTCCTTTGTTTTCATTCATCTCCACCCACTAAACACTGTCAAGATATGCCATTTTAATTATGTGTGAAAAATTGTTATGAAAATTAAATGGCAAAAGGAAACTTTCTCACTTCTTTCATTAAACATGTTTTTACATATGAAAGAAAGCCTTCATTGTTCTCAATCTATCTTAATTAGCATTTCTGGGATTGCAAGTCTCATCGTTCATAATGAAGAAACATGTAAAAGAAAGATGAAAGTTGATAACATTTCTTTGTTTTCTTTGAAAGAGAGGGGGAGGAAGAGTTATTTCCAATTACATAATTTTTTCAGTGAGTGAAATTAAAAATAACACATTAGGATGTTCGTTTATGAAGAACAAAATGAGTTTGAAAGTCAACTTATGATGTTTTAAAAAAGGTCATTTATGAAAGATAAGTTTAGAATGTAAATAACTTAGTTGTTGTTGACGTTGTTTGTTTCAAAAACATAAAATAGAATTCTTTTCAACCCACTCAATAGAATTTAAGGATGAAAGTTAAACTTTCCTCCTTTTTTTCTTCATTTTATGTTGAAATTGTGAACAGTTTAGTTGTTACAAAGAACTTTTTTACAGCTTTTTAATTTTCTTAACCAGTAAAATTTGAATCATTTTGATAGCAAAATGTTAGCGGAATAAGTGAGGGTGGTTAATTCTTCTAGAAGAAGGGAAGCAGGTTGCGATGTCATCTTTAAACGACTCGTAAAAATTCTTTTTTATTGCGCCTTTTCTTTATTAAATTATGCACAAAGAAGACGACAAATAACGGTGAATAAAAATTTATTTTATGAACTGTCTTTTATGAGGGTTCCAATATTTTCTGTTTCTTCTCGCGGAAAATTAAAATTAATGTTTGAATCGTTAATCCTTGCAAGAAAGCTTTCTATATAAAAACTTTCTCACATTTCGAAAAATACGATGTTCGACTGAAACTTTTTGCGTTTTGTGATGATAAATTTATGGTAAAGTTCAACATTGCTAGAAAATTTGAATTTCCTGTATCATCTGAATTCTCATGGTTTCAAAAGTATTCGTTGAGAAAACAGAAAATGTTGAAATCATGTTTGACGTCATATTGCACCCTTGAGAAAAGACTTTCCTCGAATGATGTTGAAATTAAAAACCCTTCTCCCTTCTCATATCATAATAAACTCGATTTTCCATACATGAACATGAAGAAGATCCGCAGAGAAGAAGCTCATCTCTTATGCATCGATGAATTTTTCTCGTTAAGTCCGTCGACTTCTTGGTAAGAAGCGATTTAAAGAAAGCAAGCGAAAATTTCATTTTCTGCTTAGAAAAACGATGTTCAGCACATCAAATATTTACTGAATGTAAACAAAAGAATTTTATCGGTAAAGGTTTGTGAAAATTCTCTATTTGTTGATGAAGTAAAAGAAATGGGAAATTGAAAGAGAACGGTGTGATTATTCAGCAAGGTCAACATTGAGTTCTTTCGTTTATTATAAACGATGTTTGAAATGATTAACTTGATGTTTAGATATGAAATGTGTGCCTATCAAGTAATGAATGTAATCTCCCTTATCTTTTCGATCGCACATTATCGAGTGACGAAATATACAAACATCCCATATCCATTGTTGTTCTTTAATAAACAGAGAAATAATCTAACAAGACTTTATGATTATTTGAGGTTCTCTGGTTTTTCTTTCTTTCATCCCCCGTGAATTTTCCAATTTAACCGAACCATGGAAAATAACACAAATTTTTCCTCAAAGGTGCCATAAAGCAATATATTCTTTGTATCCTGTAACAAGAAATTTATTTTCCTTTTTCTTCGAATCCTAACTTTGATTCAGTGAATTAACTTTTTTATTGGATTTACGTACATAAATAATTCTTTTCTTATTAATGAAGTCAATATTTCTGATGCATTCATGATGTTTTTGATGAGATGAAAAAAGTCAAATATCATGAAATTAATTGATTGGAAATTATAGGATTTAAAACCTCAAGATAAATAAAGTTTTAGAAGTTTTTATGTTAAAATCATTTTATTCTTAGAATCAAATTAAAATAATTTTATTTAATATTTTACTATCAAATTGTCTATTCCGGGACAAGAATATGTAATAATTCGATTATAAATATTAATTTGTAAATTTCAATCTATGTATTTTTCATTAAAACAAAGAAAAATTACGCCTGTAAAAAAATCGCACCAGTATGTAGTCGATAATAAATAAAATCATTTGAAATAATAGATAAAAACTTTTGAAATTTAAGAAAGATATTTTATAATTCAGCATTCACAATTTAATTATAGCGGCTTTTTTAATTAATAAATTTCTTTTGTGTTCGTAGACCTTTTTTACTGCCTAATTCATTATTCCTAGATTGTACATATTGCAGAATGATTAATATAAGAATCAAACAGAAGAAAATTTCATGCAACTTGTGTAAAGTCTATCTACGACCATCCCAATAAATTGTATGTATAAAACTTATACAAAACACCACAGACAATGATTTATTTTTGTTTTTTTTTTACCCCATTTGAACTTTTTCTATGGTTAGCGAGGTAATTGGTGGAGATTTATTACTTTAAAATTATATTATCCGCCTCTTCATTGTTAAAACGTTTATTTGGAATTTTTATTCACAAATATCTAAAAATAATGCTCCATAAAAATTATCTGGAATTTTTGATATGACTTTAAGTTTTGGCCGGAAAGCAGAGATGGGCAAATGTTCCGTTCAACTCGATTGACTGACTGACTGACATGTCAATGTCTTTCAGTCAGTCAGTCAGTCAGTCAAAATCGCGAACAAAAATATTCGCTTGTTGGGACACGTTCATATAAATGTTCCGCTCAAGTCGTTTGACTGACTGAGTGACAAGTCAATGTCTGTCAGTCAGTCAGTCAAATCCCAACTCTGCCGGAAAGTATTTTTTCAGTATAGAAATGCTCTAATGTTTAAAATCATACTAAAGCAATTGTCATTTTTCATTGTAAATTCTGAAACCTAAAACTTCAAAGTTTGGAACATATTGATTGTTAAAGATCTTAAAGAGCCAACAACCAAAAATTTTTAATGAATACAAGGAAGATATGTATGGGTACACCGGTATCTCAGCTAAACTTGCGTATGCATTATTGTATAGAAATTTTAATGTTATTCTTCTAACTACAGAAAATAATCACAACTTGATTCATTGATATTCATATGATTTTGAACAGTTTTGTTATTGGAAAGGTTTTTGATATGAAATAGAAAAGAAAATGATGTATTCATAAGCGAGAAGCGTGTAAGTAAAATAATCAAATCATGTTTAATGACTGCGTGATTTTTGAAATAAATTTCATGTATCAACCTCGCGAGAATTCAAGCTAAGGGATTTATGTACTCATCTCCTAACATTGAAACATATTTGTCAAATTTTAGCAATAGTCGTACAATACATATTAAAAAATTCAAAAAAGTAACATCGATCGCCAATACAATTTCCAGGAGTAATTCGTAAAAGTAATAAAAATATGTGCAGAAAAATACTCAAACCATCCGACCTTTATGCTGATTTCACACCGGTCACTCTCATGATTCTCAATGACTATCTGTTTGTTTATTCAACTTCTTCATACAATATTCAAGATAGAACAATTGGAGGAGAACTGCTCGGTTCCCAAAGGACCAATGGATCATAAAATTCATAGCGAAAACTTTCTCAGTGGTCGAAAAAATTTCATTCATTTTTGTTATTAAATAAAAAGCCTGTAAGAGTACTTCAGTTTGAAAGGAAGTCGGCAGTACCGTGCTAAGGCGAGATGATAGATGAGATGATATAACATTTTGAGGTGATGGAATGATATTAAGGGGAAGATCATTTTGATGGCCTTCTCTTTCCAAACTTAGTTATTTCCTCTTGATTTCCTAATGAAAATATAATTCAAAAAAGATTTATACACCCTCAATATTTCCATTGATTTTGTTCGATTTTTTTAAAATTCATATGAGGAAAAGTTTACATTTGAAATTTGTAACTTAAGAATCAGCTTTGCAGTTACAGCGTTATGTAAAATTCCTGCAAGATTAAGTCTAGTCAACCCCAACTTCAACTTCTGACCCCAACTCCAATGAAAATATATGTTTATACAATTTTTTGATTTCATTTTACATTTCTCGTTTGCACAGTTCGATGTACATTATATCCAGTTCTCAAATTAAGATTGAAGTCAATTTATATTTTAAATAAAATGTATTTTTGGAATTTTAAAAAGATATTTGATCCCATCACAATTCATGTCAGTTTTCATTGTAATAAACCCAACAAAATTAAAATAAAAAACATCGAAATGCATAACATTTGTGTAGGTGAGTTTAGAAATCTGTGATTTCTGATTAAAATTTATATTGAAATATATTTTCATGACGATCCGGACCTTTATGGTAACTCATTGCTACCCAACTCAAGAAGCGTTAAAAGTGACAAGAAGAAATATTGTGGAAATGATAAATTGAAAGTCCGAGACAATTCCCAAGTTTATTGTCGTGACCAGCATTTCCTGATATATATGTATAAAAAAAAGTTAGAATTGAATGGATTTTGCTACTTTTAAAGCGTTTTGTTACTTTCCCCAGAAAGCAAATACAGCACAAAAGTTTTTTCGTCTTTGGATTTTTCCATGATGGACCTGTCAATACCTTTCTACTCTTAGGACTCAAATGGACCGAACATCAGATAAAACAAAAATCCACAGATGAGTATAAACGTGTTGAGCATCGCTGAAATATTTTCAAAATGATTTATTAAATTGAATTAAATGCTTTAATTTTAGTGGCAAACATTATTTGAAAAGCTTGAAACAGATATATGGAAAAATCATGAAAAATAGATTCAACCTCAAATTGATGACTTTCAGATAATTTCAAATTATTTATCCAAAAATATAAGATTTCAATTTTGCAAAGTTTTTGGAAATAGTAAATGGACACAATTTTCTCAAACATGTTCCAAGGGATGAAAATGAAAATTCAGCCATATGAAGATAATGTCACATATTTTTAACAAATGTCAGATATAAAGCCAAAATAGCCTGAAGCATCAACATAAAAAATATTCCTCCCTTCTAATTCTTGACTTTTTTTTACTATTTGACGTTTTGATTCTGAGCTCTTAATTATCTTTTTCCCTTTCTAAAATTAAAATTTATTTGTGGCAAGAACATTGATACTTGAAAATTTCAAATTCAATAAGAAGCAATGAAATCTTGACCATTAAGTGTTTCTTTTAATTTTTTTTTATGATTTCAAAATTTTGTTAAGTTTTCTTCATTCTTTTATGAAGTGATTTTAGTTTAAAGAAAAGAGAAATTAAAATATTTATCACACGTCTTTAGTTCAACCTTGAATATATATATAAACCACAAATTTAAATAAATAAATTCTTTTCAAACTATTGAAACCAAGGAGATAACACCTAGTGTTATTAGTTTCACCTTCGTCTTACTTTTTCCAGCTTTTATGATATATTCAACAATCTCCATTCAGTAATCAAAAACCCGAATTCATTTGTCAAACATTGTTATGGGTAAAGAGTATCTTATTAAGAGTACTATGTATTTCCATGTAAAACAGTATAACAAAACCTCTTTACAAAGAAAATAAAATTTCCACTAACCCTTTTTACATAAAAATTAGTGACTTCTTTGATTGAATTATCTGAAGCATATCAAACGGATACCAAAATTTGACAATTTTCAGACCTTAAATCAGTGATAACTTAAATAATGAAATCATTAGGAAGTAGTAAATTGATTTCTTCAATAGTAATTAAATGATATCTGAAATTTTCAATCTGTTGAAAAACTATTAGTTTCTTAGTGCTGCAATAGACTGCTCAATTCTAAAGAAATCATGACAGAATTCTTTTAAAAAGTGAAAAAAATCTGGTACAAGCATCTGCCTTCATAATCTGAGTATCACAAAATTTTCTTATGTAAACTAACACCATCATAAGGAAATGAAAATGAGTTAGTGTTTTCATTAGTATTGATTTTCATAAGCATGTTAGTGATTTATGAAAGTGTTGGGGAAAAACGCCTATGTGTGAAAATTATGAAATTCAGAAAGATAAAAATTTTCAAAATATCATCAGAGTTTTAGAATTGCTTTGCAACATGAGTCAAATAATTGAGGTTTCTAATGAGATTTGAATAAATTTACATAAGAAATAATCTTGAGTTATTCCTGGGCTATATTGTTAAAGAATGTTGCTAATTCAAGGCTCCTAAAAAATCTTATTTTAAAACTTTTATTAGAAGAATTCTTATTCAAAGTAGCATATAATTTTTTACATTAAGAAGTTAGAACTACATATTTATCTAATACTATAAATGAAGAGAAGTTATAATGTTGTGGAACAATCAATTTAGGTTTTCATGTCTGTTTTTATTGACGTTTTCAAGTCTTTCATCGATCGACAGGAGTTGAAAAATGAAACGATCATTCGGTATTTATGTTAAAATCGCTTTGTAAATATTTTCGTTACAACATTTAATTGAATTGTTTTCTATAAAGACGAAACTCATGAAAGTGATCTTAATAATAATAATAATAATGATAAATAATAAAAAAAATAAGAAATAAAAAAATAATAATAAAGAAAAAGAAAAGCTAATAAAAATCTATGAGCCAAAATTTCACTCAAATAAAGATAAACCAATGATGTCAAAGGATCAAGTATATCATGATGCAATCCCTCCTTCCACCACTTGTTTATGATCTAAAAGTAAAGCTCTCAAAGCGATCAACTACATAAAAAGCATTTTCATCAATTTGTTTGATTGCGTTTGCTGATGTAATTTATTGCATTGTCATATATACCTAAATATATTCTAAGTTTATAAGAATTCATATTTAATGTCATCAAATCTTTAAATGCGTATTGTTTTAATTTTTCTTTTCGATTATAACTTAAATACAAAAACTGTAATACTTTCAGTCCTTTGAACTTTTCTCTATCGATATTATCTTGATTAGATTATTTTCTTTAAAGAATAAATCAAATTAAAATTAATTAGGTACCTATCTATATAAAAATTTTTTTTTGATTTACATAATGCTAAAAAGTAAAAAATAAGAAAAATAAAGAAGTTAAATGAATTAAAGACTCTCAATTTATTTCTTCTAACATATTTTGCATAGTTGTAACTCTATTAGCCCGCATTGAAAGCATTTACTTGAAGATATATATTTCGATTATTGCCTGTAATATCTTATCAGAAGAGAAAATCAATTTGTTTACTGACATCTATTTTAAAATTTACTCCTGTCTAATGATGCCAATGAATTCAAAAATTTAAAAATGTCATCTTCTACTCTTTCAATTTGATCATTTTCCAAATTAATGACACGAAAATGGAGGTCCGATAAAACTAAGCACGTGTGGTAAAAGGACATATTGTGGTAACAGTGAAAGATGGAATTGTGGTAACATCTTCGTTACTTTATATTTTTAAGGCTCAAAACTTTATACAGAAGTGAAGTAGATAGTTCAAAGTGTTTCTGTTGCTTTTTTTTCTTAACTATGGATAACTTCTATGTAAAATCCTCAGAACCGATATGTTTGATTTTTTAAAATCCAGTGAAAAACTTTTCGGAAAATAAATGAAATTTAATCTAACTAGATTTTAATTCAATTCAAAAACCTACTTTTAAAGTTCTTAAAATCTTCTGATTAGATACATATACCTATGTAAGCTAAAATTTTGAAACTTTTAAAATCTTTCAGAATGACTGTTAGAAAAGCAAGTGAAAAAAAAACGTTTTTTCTGCTATCCATATGGACAACATGTAAATTCAAATTTTAGCACAAGTAAGTGGTGTTAGTCCGGTGAAGAAATGAATATAATGTTAGTTAGTTACGTAATCCATTGAAATTACATCGATAATTGCAAAGGAATTTCGTTGTATGGGAGGATGTCCTATTTTTCTCTAACTCTTTTTGACTTTTTCTTGTAAAATTATAATGGAAAAACTTAAGTCTCAAGGTCAGAGATTTCTGACAAAGCTAATGATATCATATACATAGAAGGTCATTAAACAATTATTTTTACCTCTATTATTCTTTCTATATCTAAAAATAGCCTGGCGAAAATGAAAAATCAATGTTCAGCTTTGAATGTGTACAAGGCCACATTTCCCTGGGAATTTTTCTCCTTTTTCTCCTGTCATCTTTTATATACCCCTTTTAGAAGGAATCATCCGCGCGAGGATGTAATTCTTAATATAAAAAAGTACCTGTTCCTATTCCTAAATGATCCCTTAAGTCAATAATGATAATTTAATCTTTTTTCAAATTAATTTTCTCGAGATTAAAATGTTTGAATAGTCAAATCAATAAATCTATTTATATGTGAAACTGTGCTCATCGCTTGACAGATCTTTTCTTGAACAATAGCAACGGAGTTTATTCGACGAACAAAAAAAAAATAAATTAGTTGGCACAGTAACAAAATGTGCGAGGAAATTTTAAAGAAAAATTGATTTCTCGTGTTAGGGATATGAGCACAAAATATGTAATAAAGCAAAAAAAAACATTAGAAAGGTTTATTTAAATTTGATAACTTACAAATGTTTGATTTTTGCTATTGAAGCGCTTTGTGATTGAGATTTTTCAAGATTTAATCAATAAAAAACATGGTTGCACTGTTATAAATTCTTATCCGACTTTCTTAGACATCAGATATTAAAAGTCAGATATTAAAAGTAAATTTTTTTCATCAATATTTTCCTCCTAAATCGAGATATTTATTTGTATACATCAACATTAGACATGTAAAATGAAATAATGCAAAGGCACTGTCCCCTTCGCTTTCTCTTTATTTTAAACAAGAATTCAATAAACGTGACCATTGTAAAATGCATTTATTGCAACTTATGTAAACCATTTGGAAATGGAATCACAAACTGTAATCAGAGATAGATGATCTTAGATTTGTTTATGACTTCCCGATTAAATGTTTTAAATTTAATTCAATTAAATTAGTTAAAATTATCTTATAATTATATTATTATATTATATAACTTTATTCCCTGATTGTGTATTTTATAATTTCTTCACTTGCAGCTTCCATCGATTGTTGACCTAAAGAACTGAAAATTGATTTTTATTTTTCATCTCTATTGTCATTATTAATTGAGTTTTATGACTTATCAGCTCGAAGCGTTAATGAGTTAATTTTATTCGATCCATTTGCAATTGAAAGACATTAACGAGGAAGAGGAAAATGCACAAAAAGATGAACAAAGTCCCAAAATCATTGATGTAGGTCAGTGACGAAAATAAAACGTTTTACTTTTTAATCAGCTGTGATTTTATTATGGAATTAAATTTTTTGTAACTAAAGGAAGTTCAAGTGGCAAAGCAAAGTCTCCTCAAATCAAAAATAAGCTTTGTTTGTAGACGTTACTTGACATTGACGTATGCTTTTGATTAAACTGTATATATTACGAGATTACTAAATTTTATTGAAAAATAAGAAGAGAAAACATAGACAAACTTGTTTATAGCATAGATTTATTATTGTTTAGGCACATAGCTTCATTTAAGCAGTTCATTTCGATATTTAAATAAAGTCCGGGAATATTAACAATTTGTCAATGACCATAAAAAGCTTTGTCAGCGATTTTTGATAATTATTAAAACAGACAATTTTCTTTATTTGTATCAACCAAAGTTCCAATTTCTTGTTTATTAACTATTAAATATTTTCGATTTTTTTTGTCTAGATTATTTGTAAAATCTTTTGCGGAGACTAAGATAGAAGAGAGTCCGAAAAATTACCATGATTGCCACTAAATAAGCTATTTCTGTGACAAGTGAGAAGTCTTCAATCCTTAAATAACGTAAAAGAACTTTCGGATCATCGAAATGACAATAGACATCTTTGCAATTCAGTTGTGGACGATTGTGACCAAAAACAGTAAGTACTAAACTCACGACACCTCCCCGAATGAAAGACAATTTCATAGCTGCATTCATGAGTACAGGAATCTCAGCTGCAAAATCAAATCCATATATGGCGAGTCCCAAAAATGGAGCCATGCACATTGGTCCAACAGCACATCCATTCTAAATATTTCTATTTGTTAAAATTATGTCCAATCATGTAAAAACATTTTCATACTTACAGTGACATTGAAGGTTGCTCCTATTGCTAGTCCAAGTCCTTCAGAAATAATCGACACAATGTTTCCGATGAGTGAAAACATTATAAATCTCCACATTTCCAACGGTAGACCAGCCAAAAAATATACCAAAGTTGAAAAAATCACATTGAGGAGAATCTGAAGTGGTAGACGCGAAATCGTCAGCGCAAGATAATACGGAGTCAGTCCATACCTTACAAGTTTTTAAATAATTAACTTTAGAAACTTAAAATTCCTTTTTTATAATATTTATTTTACCATCTATTGAAACATTCCTTTTTAACGACACGCAATTCAGATGGATCTGTCAATTAACAAGTTCAATTCAAAACTGTGCTTGTGTAAATTGTTAAAAGATTTAAAATGAACTCACAACTTAAGATTGGCACCATGATTTGTGTATAAACAGCAAAAAACACGCAACCCATACAAAACTTTAAATGATCGAACATTCTTGAGCCGTCGTTTGCAGAGTTAAAAAAAATTATTCCAATGAAGAGCCCACATCCAAAGTGATGGAAGAATTGAATCCACAGTACGACGCGATTACGATATATTTTTGTCATCATCATTTGAAAGAGGATAGAAAATTGTTGAAGTGATGAAAGTGCATATTCACTTTTGAAAAACTTTGATAAAAGTTTTACTTTTTGAACGAAAGTTCCTTCTTTTGGTTTGATGCTTTCCAAATAAAGAGAATTTATCAAAGGTTTGAGTAGGAAGTCTCGAGAATCGTTTGAAATCACAGGTATACAATGTTGTTTACCATTTTGAAAAACATTTGAGAAATGTGGAATTACAGTTTCAGGTTCGAGATCACAGAGTTCAATTACTTAATAAATTAAACAAAAAGAATTGTGAAATGCAACCATTGGAACATCGAACAATATTCATAGCACTTACTGTAATCAGCTGGGAAGTTGTACTTGGGACAAATATAGTTTTCGCTTTGAAGAAATGGAATGAGAGTCTTTGGTGAACCTTGATAAACACACATTCCCTTGGCCAATAAATAAACTGAATCAAAGTTCTCAAACATAGCAGCTGACGGTTGATGAATCGTGCAGATAATTGTTCGATCTTGGTGTGCTAACTCCTTCAACAAACGTATACATGAAGCTGCTGTAACTTCGTCTAATCCGGATGTTGGTTCATCAAGAAATATTATTGATGGATTAGTCACAAGTTCAAGAGCAATTGAAAGTCGTTTTCTTTCACCACCACTCAATGTCGACGCAGTTGATGTTGAGCGATGTAAAAGATTTAAACTGGTCAAAGTTTCACGTATTTGTATTTCTTGCTCGTTTGATTTTTCGGAATTTTTAAGCTTTAGCCGACATGCCATCGTCATCATCTCTTCTACTGTCAAAAGTGTGTGATGACAATCTTCTTGTTGAATGTAACACGAGCTTTTCCGATTGAAAAAAATGTTGCCACTGACACCTTCGGTTCTGTTTATGAGTTAAAAAATATTGGCAATTAAAATTCAATTAAGTAAAAGGAATTAATTAATAAATTTTGGCCGTCTATTAGCCAGCTCAGTAATTTTAGACATTTATTGGTCCATGATTATTTAATTATTAAATCATATCAGGTTGAGAATCACTGATTTCTACAAAACTTTATGTCTGATATAATTACAGCAACCTATGAACTGAAAATAAAGTAATTTTAATAAATTATAAATCTCATTTCTAAAAAACAAAAACATCCAAGGTTGTAAGATGATTTCAAAGAAACTACCTATCTGTAAATATTTTAATCGTTACATTACTAACTAAGCAATCGAATCATTGAAACACTTGTGAATGGAAAAAATAGAAAAATTTCGCAACAAATCAAATTTTTGTGCGATTCAATACTTTTTTAATTTTAATTTTTTACTAACGATTTACGGTCTTCGCAACAATTTAATGAAATCATGTAGCGGACAAGTAGCAATTTAAACGTGAAGTGGCGAGATGGTAGTCATTAAGTGTCTAAAATAATGAAATAATCTGTGTTTGCTTATGAGCGTCGTATACAATGTAGAAGATATATCAAAACTAACAAAAATTGTTTTTGTCAGATTCTACCAGTAGTCGCTACAAGCATCAGTAGCGTTTGATGAGTTCGTTAATCTTCTGTGACCTTCTATTGTCTTCTGTTCAATATATAAAGATTATCTAAGTAATCAACTCACCTGTAACCAGACAATGCATTGAGAAGACTGGATTTTCCTGCACCTGATGGACCCATAATAACTGAAAGCTGTCCATGACGAAAAACTCCAGAAACGGCTTTTAAAAGTTGCCGCTTCGTTTTTTCTGTACTTCCTAAATAAAGCAAGAAATAAATTTTTATTGAAAGTCATGAAATGCTCATATACGAACAGAAAAAATAATAATATTCAACTTCCGCTTTTAATTGTTCGTGCCATAGTTGCGAATCATGGGAAATAAGAGAGAAAACAGGCTAAAGTTTCATGTAAATTGTTATTTCATAAAGACAGATGCAACGCGAATAATCTGACATTTGTGCTAAGCTGCTTAGTCATATTTTCTCTCTATTCAAGTATTTACTTTCATGTGTCGACAATTGTATATTTGAAATTCAAATGAACTCATGAGTTATGTTCTTTTCCACTGATTATTTAATCGAAACAATAATTAATCGAAACTCACCAAAACTTCGTGGCTCTTGCACTTCATACACAACGTCTTGGAAGTTCACTGTTTTCATTACTAGTTAAACGTTTTCTGTATATTTTTTGAATTTGATAAAATTACTTTTGATTTCTTTTTTAATTGTCTGTAATAAAAGAATAAGAACAGAATGTTGAGATAATGGATGATCGTACGCGTGTGACAATTGATACAATAACAATTCTCATGAAGTTAGTAAAAAATAAGTACAAAGTTGCCATCTAAGTTTTAAAGCAAATATTTTTTATTTATATTGAGCTGAAGTAATTGCGAGACTTGGAGGTACAGTAATCTGAAATGCTGAGCCGTCGTCCATCATCACCATGACCGACTTTAAGATTCCATGCAATTCGCATCAAAATTATCAAAGGCATTTTAATTGAATAAACTTGACAACTGTTTCTTTGTTTTGTATCGCATTTCTTAGCAATTGCAATGATTATGTAAAAAGATTTTTCTAAAGGGCTCATAAATTATAATTATTTTATTTTACTTCATTGGATTGAATATAGAATATTACCGGTTGTACATGTTAATTAGCTAAAAGGTTTTAATTAAACTTATTACATTAACGCTTTGATTTGTATACGCTTACTATCCGAGAAATCTTCAACAATAAGTTGAAGAAGCTGATTTTAAATCTTACTATTGCGAAAAGAGAAATCAATGTGAGATTAAGTCGTCACTATTTACCGGTGTTTTACAAACTTAATAATCTTGGTTTCGTTATGTTTACAATTATCAGCGTGTTGTTTCATCGACTTTTCTGTTATGAACTTTTGAACAGACACGTTTCATTGACAAGTTTAAGATTTTTTTATTTATTTAAATAGATAAAGTTCTATGGAAGTCACACTACGGAAGTCAGTTAAACAAATAAAAGAAAAAAATTACCGAAAGACTAGTAATGCTGAAGACAAACGAATTCAAAGACTGAATATGTGAGTAAATGTGTAATTAGCTAAATAATCAATCATTATAGCAGAAGAATCAAATATTTCATCTTGAAATCTTCTTGGAACTGAAGAAATAATTTTCTACTATTGATTTCACGTAACTTGGACGTACGTATTGAAATATTTAAATATCTTTCAGGATTACTTAGCACGTATGATTGCATGCAGAATTCAAGTAAGAATACACATTCAAACGAAATAATTCATTATTCGTCTTTTTTTTTGTTGTTTTGCCCACTTTGTAATATCTGAGTAGTTGTTTGAAATAAATGGCCTTAAGCCTTAAGCTTTTTAATTGTCTTAGGAATTTCCCAAATTAATCATAAGAATTCAATTTTTTGCTCAATACACTTTAAACTTCTCTATGATTCCTGTTTTTAAAACTAATCAATTTAATTGCTTTTATTTCCTATCGGAATGTATTTTGAGGAATGATCTTGAAACGAATTAATTTTTTCTTATCAACAAACATGCTTTTATTTTATTATTATAGAAACAGCAATTTTATTTTCACCACTTTTTTATTTTATAATTAAATTTTCCATATACCTATAAACTTATAAAACTTTAATAATTCATATTTTATAATACAAAATTATTAACTTTTCTACTATAAAATCTTGGAAAACGCGTGTTGTATCTAGTGATACAATTTAATGACTGAAACGTCTAACATTATTATACAAGCTTTTAGTAAATTAAAATGATCAAGTGAAAAGAAAAACAAAGAACATTTTGAAAATGAAACATTGACAAAGCAATTCAATTGTTTCGTGTAACATTTATATGCATTAACTTCCAATTTATTTAAATAGGAACTGTTGATGTGTTTTTCTGTTGGTATAATTTTATGTTGCAGTATTTTATAGCAAGTTTTTTAGGCATTTTCGAAAATAAATACAGTCAAATGATACTCTAGTAGTTTTGAATTGGGATTCTTTATTTATAGATATCTACCTAAATCAATAAACATCCGCAAATTTCATTGCAATTTTTTACTATTGTATATTACGGAACTATTTTTTTTATTGTTTTTGAATTTTCAATTGTCTTCTATTATAGAAAGTTACTAGGTATTTTTTTATTATTTAGGTTTTCATAAACTATTAGTGCCAGTTAGCCGCGTGTCGAGAAATGTTGGAACTGTTAATACAACTGTTAATTCAACTCTCAAGAATTGCTTTAAGGAACCACGAAAATAGCTTTAGAAGTGTTTCGCTTTCTAAAACATTCTCCAAAGGAAGGAATAAACAATTATTTTTATATATAATCTTAAAGTGTACGAGAATTTACACCGGATAGGTACCGATTTTTATCCGAGAACTGAAGATTCTCAACAAATATTAAGAAGATTTTTGTAGAATATTAACGACTACAATTTGTAAATGTAAGGGAAAATTCCTATGAAAAAAGTTACAAGAAGCATCTTTAGCATTTTTCACCCTTTAAATGTGATTTCTTGCACAATAATTTAATGAACTTTCATTGTTTTGTGCTATGTCATTGTAAAATATTCATCACATTATGCTTCCCTAACAAGCAACTTGAAAAAATCAAATGAGACTGTAAAAAAATCTTGTTTTCTTGTTTTGTTACACTTTTTGTTCCAGGATATCACAAATTTCCGCTTTGCTGAAAATTGAATTTTTTTTTTCCATTTTCACCCTCAGTTAACAAATCTTTTAATATTACACAATTACTATAATAACAAAGTTACAAGTCACCTACGCATCGGATGAACAATTAATGTTGTAAAGGAAATTGAAAATGCTTGCAGCAAGACGAAAACTTGTTTTTATTCTCTAAATTTTCATTTGAATTTGATTGAATGCCTGTTTTGCCTAATCTTATTTTTTTTTGACATTTTGAATGAGTAAATTCTAGCATAATTTATCATTCCTAATAATTGTTAACAAATTTATGATTCTCAGGAAGTGCGACACGAAGTTTGTGATTAAATTTTTCTTAGGTTTTTGAAGAAAGTTTGATAATTTTTTAACATGTATGTATGTTGCACATACAAACAATATTTTAATATTATAAAAGCTTTTAAGTACCCAGACATAATGAATAGAGAAACAAACTAAAAAGAAAAAACCAGTTTCACAAAACCTAGATATTTTCTTTTCTGAATAGATGAAAGAAATGTATTTTTGATTGTTATTTAGCATAGGTATACAGATAAAATTTATTTTGCTTTTATGCTGACCATTCATTGAAGGAACCTCATAGAATTATCTGAATATTCAATCCATTGAAGAATTTAACTTATTTAGATAACAGAGATGGGTAATTGATTTTCATTAATTTCCCTTGAAGTTCTTCAATTTTTTTGTTTTATCATTTAAGTTTATTAAAATTCAACAGTAATGTCATCTGAAATTAGTTATTTGCATTGATTAATTAGATATTCAAAATATTTTAAGAAAAACAATAAAAACATGGTATTGGAATTATGTATTAATTGAAATGACACTACAATATAGAACTCTTTAAGTATACCAAAATCTTTTAAAAGTAAATTGAAGTCTTGAAGTTTCATTATACTTCAATTCAATTAGGATGATAATTAAGGAGGGTCTCATGATCTCTTTTAACCTCTTTGCCGGCTTTTTCCACTTATCTAGAGAGGGAGAAGATTCTACGAACATTTTAACGAACGCAAATGAACAACAGCAGCTAAGGCAGATTTTTTGTCAAATGAATTTTAAATTATTTCAATGAGTAAATCGGGGAAAATTTTTCTGAATTTTTAATGAGTAAAATTTTGTTTGTGGGGTAAGACGAAGAATCAAGTAATTAGCAACTTATGTCGTTTTATATTACGACAAAAATGATCCAAAAAGCAGATACTTTTACATTTATGTTGATCCCGACTTATTTCATTATGTTTAATAAACAACTTATAGTGTTTCAAAAGTGAAAATGAATCTCTAAAGGCACGTATAATCGTCAAGTTCCAGGATAATAAAAGTTCAGGTTGAGAATGACAGGATAGATAAAATGACAAGCATTACAACTGTTTTCATTGATATTCTACTTTTTAATAGTCTGTTGATTCATTTCAATAGATATTGTAGATTATAAATCATTTAGGATGATAACAGGAAGGATGAAAACTCACTCCAAGTAGTAGTTAATCGATCATTTTATCTTCGCTTTTCTTTTGAAAAATGGAAATTGTTTTCCTGAAATGGTTTTCGGTTGTTTGAAAAGATTATTGAACATGTTTTTACCCATTGTGGCGACAACAACAAAACAAGAAAGATTTTAATGACTTTTTCCACTCTTCGTCTTTGTTTGGACTGAGTGCATATAATCCTAGAAAGCAATAACATTCATCATCACATGTCAATGAGTTCCTTCTCTTTATGTTTGGTATACTTCTTTTGTTGACATCATAAAATACATCAGGGCTTTTCATCACGGTTTAGAAGGATGAAAAACAGAGAAACTCATATTTAATTCAACAATTGATACAACATCCCCTATTTATAAAAGTATGTGGTGTTCTTAGTGGAGCGAGAATTTGAATGAATAATTTATGAATAATCAATAAGGAGAGTTATGTGTTCAGTGTGTTCAACGCTATGGTTGAAAAATTTTTGACAGAGTGACGTTAAATAAATTCGAACGACTTAAAAACGTCTCAAATTTATGAAATTGTTTTTGTTAGTTTTCATCAACACAAAGCAAATTATTTCATCATATGCCCAAAGAAGTTAAAGTGATTTATTGTTTGGCTTCAACAAGAACTTCTATTGCAAAACATCTCATCCAATGGTTCAAAAGTATGTTGTTAAAATTGCTTTTCTCCATTTAAGCTTTGGAATATAAATTGGAGTAAGGAGAAAATTGAAACCGTAAATGAAATTAGTTGAAAAGACTTATCGATAACGACATTGGCAATCAATCATTTGGCGGGCCGATTTTTCTTTTTTCAACCTTAATGGTTTTCCTTTTGATGGAAATTAAATTCCCTTCAGAGATTTTTCATTCTTTTCTCTTTCGCGGACATTTGTAAGAATACGTTTTAAAAAATAAATAGGAAACTTTTATTTCTTGTCTTTCTTTTGCACATAACAAAGAGAATAAATTATGCTGAAAAGCAAAAGCATAAATAAAAGAAAACCTTTTTTTGCTTTCCTTCATCTCAATTTACGCAAATGTGCTACACAAAAAAGAAGGAAAAATAATTTGTCATGAATAAGCTAATATTTTGATATGAAAGTGAAACAAGATAGAAGCTTGCTGTAGGCGTTTCTCTTTTATTCTTTTTTCTACTTCGCACCTGACTAGCATAATGAAAAGCATTAATTTGTATATCAATTGTCACTTTCAGGAATGAATCAGTAAACTCCCGAAAATTTTATTCTTCTTTCTTTTCAAATACTTCAAAATCTAATGACTATCAGAAACATGTAAAAATGTAACTTTGGGACATAATCGATATGAGAATTTATTTATTTTTCTATTTTTTGGATTCATACGATGCTACTCTCGGTAAAGATCATAGATTGACCCCTCTCAAAGAAAACAGTGAAATTTATTTCTTCACCCTTCATAACAGAGGAAATTTTATTTTCCCATTTGTTTCAGATAAATATAATTTGAGACACTTGTTGAATTATAGTGTTCACTCCCCTTCAATTGTGATGTTTCTGCTTTTATTCTTAAGTTTATTTTACGCTCATCCTATCAGTGAAATCAGAAAATCAAAAAATGACAATGTAATTAATTACTGTTTGTTAAGTAACAAAACAAGATTTTATTTTACATTTTTGTGATGTTTGTCAGGAATCATGAAAAAGTTGGGAGAAGAAAGCATTAATGATTCAGAAACTAAACGCAGAGTTCCGTCACAAAACTAACTGCGAAGCAGAAAAGACATTCAAATGAAATACGAGGCTTTAGAACTCACCAAAAAGAAAAACTCATAAAAAAAGAGAGTATTGTGTCATGTGATGCAATAAAAAAATATATGTAAGAAACACAAGTAATCCTTAAAATTTTTCCTTGGAGAGAAGAAAAAAGAGTCTAAAGCGAAAGTTTAGAAATTCTATTGCATGATAAATTGCTTTTTTTATACTCATTGTACATTGTTAGAAGATGATATCTATACTCTACAAGAGGGTCAATTTTGAAACGATGCTCAGCAAACTTTACAAACTGAATTTTTAATAATCTAATTTCTTAAAGCTAAGGAAAAGAAATAACTTTTTTTTTCTGAGTGATCGTAAGTAAAAAAGGAACATTCTTTCAATAAATTGCTGCAAAAAGATGTTCAATAAAAATTAGTTTGTCAATTCAGCGGCTTTTGTGTTCAATCTTTAAACTTAAAAAAGTCTTTATAAATTTTTAATGTCCCGCGGGAATATTTTTGATGTTATTTTCTTTCGCCAATTTTCCTGATATTATTATTATTGTCTCAATTCCTTCTGTTTTGTTTTCAAGGGTCACCGAAAACAAAACGATTGAGGGATCAATCTTTTATTGAGGGTATTATGCTTCATTATCCCTTTTTGAATACACCACAAAAGGACACTTGTTTTGGTAGTCGACGAGGGATGCAATACAAACCCTTTTCCACTACCTAGCATCATTTGAAAAGACACACAAAATCTAAAAAGAAATACATTGAAACATATTTTTCCTAACTGAGTTTGCATAACAAAAGATTTTAATATCAATTTTCCTGCTGTCATTACAGCTCATTTCTATTTATCATATTCGTCACAAAATATCGGGGTTAAAAGTATGACAAATGTAAAATTAATTATTTATTTATCACAGTATATGCCAAGTAGCAATCTTCTCTGCGAACGATTTAGGCTATATAAAAAAAATATTTATTTATTTATTTTCGTCTCACAACTCTTTTTATTTCATTGCTGAAATATCCCTAGAGTGATGAAAATACTGAGACACACATAAATAAGCCGAAGTTGAAGCAGATTCCACCTTTTGAAAAAGAGATTTTCGAGAGAAGAGTGAAATGATTACAGATCTCTGTGATGTGAAAATTAATTTGGAGGTTGCGATTGTTTGTGAATAATAAATCACGTCTCTCATGACTTAATCCTTCTTTTGTGGTGGATTTTCCTGGGGATTGTTATTTTATGCTACTGTTTCTCATTTACGCCTTTGTTAGGATTTCTCATTGAAAGCTTTTCCATTAGTGAAAGTTGCACTTGAAAGGAATAGAAAATTGTTTACGTCCATAATGAGGAAAGGGATTTTATCAAGAAAATCTTTTACAATCTCCACTTTTCGAATGCCTTGCGAATGAATGGAAAATACTGTGAAATTAAGCTCCCATTGTTTTCCCATCAAAAGCAACAGCATGTAATGATTATTATTACTCGCTTTTGTTCAATTTGCTTCTTTTTTCTTTCAGAACTCATTTAACAGAATATTTCTAAGTTGTGAGAGAAAAACGAATAAGAAAAGAAAAGTGAGAGGAAAAAAGGAAATTAGTTACAGTCAATTGTTTATTAACAATAGGGAAACAACAAGAAAGATGTGACGAGAATTTTTTTTATGAAGAAAAGTAAATCTTTGAAATCAAATTTTTATCACATTTTTCCGAAAAGAAATTATCGTAGCTACTAAAACTTCATCTCATATTTAGGTATTATTCTTAATTCTATGTTTGCTTTAAGATTCAACATTGTTGCATATAAAATTCAGGGCTGAAACAGGGCAGAAGTCTGAAAAGTAAAAAATCTTCATAATTTCTCATTAATAACACTTAATTACGATACGAATTAGAGAAGAAGGACGATTACTTCGAGTTGTAACCCTGCCAAAAGCGATATTAAAAAAAATTACGTGAAAAACTTTTTCCGTCCCCTACACTCCACTCCCTTAGTTTATTTATCTCATCATATTCTCTGATAATGCTTTTGATCTTTGATGTGTATTATGATGATATATACAAAAGTTGTGTTTTCTTTAGCAAAAAAAGACAAATAGTAGCATTCGAGAAATAAATTTATGCTTTTTGGGGCCTTTCTTGTGTTTATGTTCACATTATACTCATAAGCAGACAAGATGAGTTCTTGTATGTCTGTGTTATTAAATAAATTATTATGAGGTAGTGAAAGTTGGTTCACAAAAGCATGAATGGTTGGTTTTATTATAAAAAATGCAAATACAAAACTGTGATGTCATTTTAAGATTAGACAAATTCAAATAGAAGGCAAAATTGTGTTTTCCTTCGTTATTTTCGTATTTGTCGAAGCAGAGATTTTCCAACAAAAGTTATGATAACTAAATGAGAGGCAAAAAAAATCGATTTTAATTTGTGTTTGTTTGCGACTGTTATTTGTTTTGATTCTTTTTTGTTTTCAAATTATAAGGATTAAATCCTTTTGATCATAAAAAGTAAATTTCTTTTGATTAATTTTTGTTCAATGAATTTACTTTTCTAAAAGAGAAAATAATTAGAATAAATATACAAGGCAAACAAACTTACATCAAAAGGAAATTGATTTTTATTTTTCATCGTTTACCTTTACAATATGTATTTTAATTTCCGTTTTTTTTGTCGCACGCTGCTAGATTTGAAATTGACAGAAGCCTAAGAAATTTGGTAGATAATTAGATATTTGACACATAAAAAATAGAAATATTTTCAGGTTACATATGAGAATTATTAGATATGGAAATCAATTTCTTGACCTTCTTTGAGAATAAAAAAGAAATTTGTTTCAATTTTGTTTGATGTCTTAAAATTTTACACATGCATCAATACGAAACAACAAAAGAAAATTTATACAGACTGAAAAGAAAGAGAAAAATTTTACTATGACAATCCGATTTCTGAAATTCATTATTCAGTGCCTTCAACCATTCATTCAGTTCATTTTATTCGGAAAATTCTTTCTATTCGGATATTCTTTTTTTCTTTAATATGAGATGTGGCGTATAGAAATGATACTTTTCCAACAAAAGATTCTTTTTGAAAAGAACTTTCTGCATTATAAGTTTTCTTCTTAAGGATTATTTTTATATATAAAATCGACATTTCTTTGGATTCACTTGTCTTACAAAAAAAAAGAACAAATATATCTCCTTCATCTGTAACCACATTGAATGTGTTTGCTTTCCTGTAGCTGTAAATAGAAAACGGCTGTAAATTTGTGCAATGAAATTGCATTCTTATTCTTTAAGTAAAGAAAATCAAAATTTTGTGTGAGTGAAAATCGTTTTGTAATCCGTTAAGTTAACAGATTTTCCAATGAGTTGTTACATCATGTAACAATAATAAGTTCTTATAGTAAACAAAATAATAAGAACTCATAAAATCGTAAACCATAAGTAGTATCATTATTTTTATAACTTTCCGTACTGCTGTCACTTATAACCTATGTATGTGGCCAACTATGTATGAACATGTTAAGAATTTAAGAGTCTATCAAATTCCAAGTAATACTTCTTTTAAATCATGTTACGTAATATTCGAAAAACTCTTGCAATGAATTTTCCATCTCTTGTCAACGCCACCCTAAAAATCAAAAAAGAAATCTAAAAACACTAGTTGTGATGATATTGAATTGACATTGACAGCAATCTTCTATTAATCCTCTGGAACTTTTCATTCAACGCCTTCATACATGATTTTCTTTTCCACATTTGCCAAAAAGAAGGAAGAAAAAAATGTAATTTAGAGACGTCTGTCGCTTATTCTTTACATTTTTTTTCATGTCACGTTGTGCTGATAAGCTGGAATGTGAAGTAAACCGATAATCGGTTCAGAAGCATACATTTTAATTCTCAATTAAATATAATGTTTGTATTTATGAGCAAAAATTAAGGTGACGTATTAAAACTTGTGTCAACAAATCGAGAACATACAACTACAAACTTATATGCAATGTAACTACAATGCAGTTACCATCATGCATATATTGTGATTTAAGTAGTTGCCCATCCATAAAATGGTCATGTAAATGTGCATGTTAATTTGCAGCATCGTTTAAATTAACCTCTGTTCATTAACTTGTTCCATTATAAGTAAATAAATGATGTTTCTACTTTAATCACTATAAGGGTTGAAATTCTAGTGGAGAGCATTGGGGGATTTATTTTCATTTATGAATGTGGATGAATACGATTATTAAACGATTAGCTTATTTTCCTGTTTAAAGGAAAATAATGTTTTCCCAATAATAAACTCTCCACTCGACTTTATTCCTAGCTAATAGTTTAACATTCGTTTTTTAAATTATAAGAAAGAGAAAAAATAATTGATTTAATTAAGAAATGCACATCAAAATGGGTTTAATTTAATATCGAATATTGAGATTTATTACTGATTTCAGGTAAGTAGAAAAGGATGGAATTCATTTTCCATGAAATTCAAAAATTATTTGAAACAATAGAAAGTTGTGCATTTTTATGCCACTGTAAAAAATACTTGATTTAATATCAAAACTATATTTATTCAAGTAACTCTTAAAATTTCAAATATCATTTAAAACGAAATCTAGTAGGAAAATATTTAACGCCCAGATTTTGTTTTATTATTATTATCTAATTATAGATAAATTGCTTATTCTTCTTTTTTATTAAGAATTGATTAATCCTTATAGAAAAATAAGCAATTTATTTATGATATTAATTATTTTAAGTTCGACTGGATGAAATATTTTTAAGATGTGAATCGGATATCAGTCTGTTGGAAATGTGTTAGTGAACACTATAAGTAGAAGTTTAGCGAAGTATAGGAATACGTCGTTCAGTGCTTTGGTAGCCTGATTGACACCGACTAATATTTTGTAGTGGACTTTGCTGTTGAAGGGTTTCAATAGCAAAGCTATACTTCGCATATAACAGCAGCAGCAGTAGTAAAAGCCAATACTTCACCCTACCGTAGTAGTAGTAGAATCTCAATACAGTCGTGTAATAAAATTCGTATTTTTTGTTCAATGCAACATGTTTCGATTCTTTATTTGAATCCTTTTCAAGCAATACCTAACAACAATGAATTGTCCGGTTAACATAAATTGAACGAACAAGTTGAATTTTATTACACGACTGATAGCCGATTCACATCTTAAAAATATTTATAATTTTTTCGCTATAAGACTCTTTTTTTTCTTAACGTATTTTCTCGATTCAAACACTAGCCTCAAACAATCAAGCAATGTGGCCTCAATTGATTATATATGGCCGAATTAAAGACTTTAAGTTTTATTTTCGTGTGACTCAAGTATACGTCGCATATTTTTTCTCTAAAGACAAATCAACTCTTGATAAGTTGATTGATCTTTTAAAACATTAGAAATAGGAAAAAGTTAAAACTGAAGAAAGTTTATATATTTTAATTGTTTTGAAACACGTAATAAGTATCACTAATTAAAACACTGAACACGAATACCGAACACTTTTATAACTTATGAGTTATAAAAAAATATGAGTTATAAAAGTGTTCGGTATTCGTGTTCAGTGTTTTAATTTCTGAAGAAAGTTATTAACTCTCAAAGTCAAAATTTCAAAAAACTGGCCGTTTGACGAATTTTTGCTCTAATATAGGGTAAGCAAGGTATTGTGAACACAGTGTTTTTTGTAAGGTATTGTGAACACACCTAATTTCGAATGCGATTTTCTTCGCTATTTTGCATTCAAATGGATCAAAACTTTGTATAGAAGTAGTTTGAACTATCTACTCTACTTCTATGCAAAGTTTTGATCCATTTGAATGCAAAATAGCGAAGAAAATCGCATTCGAAATTAGGTGTGTTCACAATACCTTACAAAAAACACTGTGTTCACAATACCTTGTTTTACCCTACTTTATTAAATTATTACGCTTGTCAGAGGACAAATTGATTATACGTATAACAAAAACTTGCGCTATTTTAATTTTGGTCTAATAAGTTTATCAAGGTCAGCTCCAATATAAATCTTCGTTTTGGTTTATCGAGATACTCGCTTATCAAGGTATTAGTTAATCGAGGTAATCTTTGCAAGATATACGGATGTTTGCAAAGGTCATCGGTGTTTTAAGGTTATTATTTCGTTGAGGCATCCGCTTATCGAAGTTACACTGCATATATTAAAATAATCAAGAGTTATAGGAAATTATCAAAATTTAACTCGATACAATCTTTCAGTTTATTTTGTTGAATATAATTTGTGTCTAGGATATGCTTCATATATTTAATTCGATAATGAGTTAATTTTTTGCATCTTGAAAAATGAAATGAGAAGAAAAAATGACGGTTTTAAAAGAGAATTTATTTTGATGAAATGAAATAAATTTTCATCCGATATTAAACTGATTTAAATGAGTAGCCTAAACTGAAGTTTATTCACAAATCTTTCAACAATCATTGAAGTGCCCATAATAAACACTGACCACAATTGATCATACCATTAAAAGATTTTTTACTCTAATTATCAGCGCTTCGGTCCGCACCTTTTTTCCTGTTCCGGAACGGAAAGCGGACCTTAAGCGGGACCATGAACTTGTTCCGGAACAAGATTGGACCGTTCCGCTAACCAGCAAATCTGTTCCGGAACATATGCGGACCGTTCCTCTTTTTAGAAATCTGTTCCGGATCAACACGGACCACATAATTAAAAAGTTTCTTCGGAAATTTGAAATTTAAAAAAAAAAAATTAAAAAAAATTGAAAATTTTGATGAAAAACATAATTTTTTTTCAAATTTTCTTCAAAATTTCATTAAATTTTCATTCTTTTATGAAATTTTCT